CGGCCGCCCTCCTCGCGCACCACCCGGCAGCCCAGGCCGCCGCGGCCGCGGAGGTCGCCGCGCTGCTGCCGCCAGGCCGCCCGCCGCGCGCGGCCGACGTGGCGCGCCTGCCGCGCTGCACGGCCGTTGTGCTGGAGGCTCTGCGGCTCTACTCCCCCGCCTACATGGTCGGGCGCTGCGCCAGCGACGACGCTGAGCTGCCGGGCGGCTACCGCCTGCCGCGTGGCACGACAGTCCTCGTCAGGTGGGGGCCGCGCTACCTCGCTTTCGGCTTTCTGCGACCCGCCGGCGAGGGCCTGCTGTGCCGTGGGTTGTGTGCTCTGAGGCGGTGTGTGCATGCATGCATGTGTTTGTTTGGCGTCTGTTGTCTTCCAGAGCATTTTCAGGCTGTGTCTCCTGTGTGTCTTATGGTCTTGCTCCCGCACCCAACCTGCTTTTCCTGTGCACGTGCTCATCCTCCTCTTGTTCGTTGAACCTCCCTTGGCCCAGCCCATACCTTTTGCACCGGGACCCAAACTACTGGCGAGAGCCGCTGCGCTTCTCGCCAGAGCGGTGGGACGAGCTGCTGCAGCCGCAGGCCAGTAGCAGCGGCGGCGGCGGCGGCGGCGGCGGCACGCCCGCTGCAGCCGGCAGCAGCAGCGGCGGCGGCAGTGGCGGCGGCGGCTACTCCTTCGCGGCGGCGCTGCGGGAGATGGGGCCCAACGGCGCTTACGTGCCTTTCGGTGGTGGGCCCAGGTGAGGTGCTGCCACCACGCGCGGCTGTGCTGCGCTGTCTGGCTGGGAGGAATTGTGCCCTGCAGAGTCGACCTTTACACAAAGCAGGTGGCTCTCCGCTTCCACGGTGCCGCCCCTCAAAACGATCAGCAATCCCTGTGCATTTGCAGGCCCTTGGTCGAGCGCCATGCATTGCTGCTCCTTGCAGCCAAGCTACGCCCCCCGCCCCACCCCGCCCTGCCCCGCCGCGGCAGGAACTGCATCGGCACTGGGTTTGCCATGATCGAGGCGGTGCTGGTGGTGGCCGCGCTGCTGCAGCGCTACGAGCTGCGGCCGCCGCCCAACGGCGCCTTCCCGCGGCCCAAGGCGCTGCTCACGCTGCGGCCCGACGCAGTGCCGCTGACCGTGGCGCGGAGGGCATAGGCATGCAGGCTCGGGGCGTTCACTGACGCGGAGGCCAGGCGTGCACACCTGCCGCATGCGGCGCCTCGGCTTTAAGTTGCGTCACTTGGATGCAATTTCCATGGGTGTGATGAAACACCATGCATGTGTCCGTCAGGCTGTCGTCTGTTCACTTTGCCTGTCTCTGCAGTTCCCCCAGGAGCCTTGTAATATCAGTGATGCAGCAGCAACTTCGTTGCGGTCAGGAGCTGCAACAAATGTCGTGTTGGCGCCCGGCTTTGGCCGACGCACAGAGCTCCACCCAGGCGCCCACGCAGCCGCAGCGCCAGCCCGCTCCACCCTGAAATCTGAAGCCCGCTGGTTACTCACAATTGTGCAGACGGCCAAAAACACATTACAGTGAAGTAAAGCACCCCGACGGCGGCGTGCGGGAGCCAAAATTGTAGTCAGAGTGTGCCTCCTTTTCATTGTGGCGCTCCAGCGAGTGTTTCACCGCTGCTCTGGCCTTCCGCTGCTTTGAATCCAACCTCTCCATTGACAACGTATGAACAGCTCTCACTATGAACAACGATGACGCCCCGGGGGCCTCACCGCAGGCCGCCATCCCCACTGCTGCCGTCCCTGCTGCTGCTGTCGCTGCTGCCGCTGCTGCTGCTGCCGCTCTCTATGACAATCCCGTCCGGACCGCCGCTGTCCGCGCCCAGCCGCCGCGCGGGCCGCTTCGCAAAGCGCGACATCGCGCTCGTCCGCGACCGCTGCCGCTGGCCCTCCGGGAACAGCGGGCGCTGCCGCCGCCGCTGCCCCTCGCCGCTGCCAATGCCGCTGCCAGACGCGGCGGCCTCCGTCGCCCCAGCCCCGTCGGCGGCGCCGCCGCCGCCTCCCTCCCACGCCCGCGTCCCCGTTCCGCTCCCGCTCGCGTCCCAGCTCTGGTTCGCGCCGCCGCCGCTCGCGCCCGCGCCGGCGCCCCATGCGGCCGCACCTAGCAGCCCCTCCTCCTCCAACGCCGCCAGCGGCGGCCCCGACGCAGCCATCTCCGCCGCCAGCGCCCCGGCCGCGTCGCCCTCCGACAAAAATTCCTCGGGCAGCATGTCAGCCAGCGCACGCCCATTGCCGCCGCGCCTGCCGCCGCCGCCGCCGCCGCCGCCGCCCTCCCCTCGCAGCCGGAAGAAGCGGTTGATGGTCTGCAGCATCGCGTTGATCGCGCCGCCCGCGACGCCGCCGCCGGCCGCGGCCCCGGGCGCGCCCCCCGGCGCCGCGGCCTCCGCCGCGCCGTCGGGGCGCGTGGTGAAGCTGCTGGGGATGACAAACTCCCACTGCTGCTCGCTGCGGCGGATGCGGAGGTCATTGGCTGCCTCCAGGCGCCCAAGCTCCTCCTCCATCTGGATCCAGGTTGCCCAGGTGGACTCGTTGCGGGGGTCCACCTTGAGCGCCGCTTTGAAAAGCTCCCGCGACAGCTGGTGGTTGCCCGTGCCCTTCCACTCCAGCACCCCCCAGGCCTGGGGATGGCGGGGCGCGCGGCGAGAGGGGTGTGGGGGTGGGAGTGGAACCGCCGGCTGTGTGCGGCGGTGCGGC